TTTCATGTTTTGTTATATATAGGAAACTTTAAGTTTTTGGATCAATTAAGTTATATACTTAAAACTTTGCTTCTCCATTTATTTTTGTCACTTCTGGCTTCCTGTCAAGCACAGAAGGCACATGGAATAATCTCTGGCATTCCCACAAAAAAGAAAACCCCTGAACAAACTGAAAATCAACATTTCTTTGCTCCTGCAGAGAACTAAGGCATAAGGCAAAGTCCTGGCCCAATGGAGAAAAGCGCAGATGCAGACAGGAACCGCTTTGGAGAGCCCCAGGGCAGTAGCGCCGTTCCCCGAGGGCGCAGTACCAGGGCAGGACTCCAGATCCATGAAGGGCGCAGGGCTGAGGCTGGGTGGGCAGGTGGAGACCTCAGGGCTGCGGAGGGCACAGTCTCATTTCCCTCCCGCAGCCCTGTCAGAATCTCACAGTGAACAGCAGGAAAATTCCCTGCTGCAGGGGAGGGGTGGGGCTTGCAGCCATCTCTCCTTCCCAGCAGGGCCAGGCCTCACCCCGACACTCTTCTCTTCTGAGCTACTGTGTTTGCTTGGGTCTCTGTTTGACCTGCGCAAGGAAAATACCCAGGTGCGACACCCTTGAGCCTCTGGTCCCTCTTAAGGGCAAAACCAGAGTGAGCAGCAGCCTTGAAGGCCGCAGCCCCGCGCCTACTCTGACAGTCCGACAGCTGGTCAGGGAGGAGAGGCTGCTTCTCCTCCTCCTCCAGTGCCCACAGCCACCAGCGGAGGAGACAGAGGAGGGACTGCACTGCACACCGCAGGGGACAGGTCTCCGGGCAAAAGGAAAGGCGCTGCCACCAGAGTTTAAGGTCATGCCCCTCCCTTGCTGCTGCCCCAAGGAATGTGCAGACGGAAACTGCTGGAAGGAGAAGGCTTGCTCATTGCTAGCTTTGAGGCGGAGAGAGGGGACGAATCGCTCTGCCCTGCTCAGGTGTGGGAGGGCTTCATGGCCGGAGGGAAGGACACACGGAGACCGGGCCTGGGCGGCTGTATGCTGCCGCCTTCTCTGGAGCACACAGTGTCTGTTCCTCTGGCCCTCTAAATGCAGCAGTTCAGGCTGGCTTTTATGACCTGGCCATCAAAGCGCCCTGAGAACAGGGTCAGATCAAAGGGATACTGTAGTGTCCCAGGCTGAGTGCTAATTCAAACAGCAGGAGAGGTATAGAAACACCAGGGAGAGGGTAAGATGTTGGGATGCGCCTAGAGCGCTAAGGCTCTTCCTTGGGGAGAGACTCCTACCAGTATCTGCCAGGTTAACAGCGCCTCTTGGACCTCGGGGCTCAACACAGAAGCCGTACAGAAATAACCAGCATTTGGTGGTTGTTGGTGGTGCTTGGCTGGTTGGTACCGGGAGTGGAACTGATGACCTGGCAGGCAGACTCCGAGCTGCTGAGCTACATCCCCGGCCCCAGCCTCTGTTTTACACTCTTTTAAACCGATCTCCTTTAAAGTGTTACTGGGGCTGGGGTGCTGCAGCTCCTTCTGGAGGTGGTTTCCAGGCTATTTCTGTCCTGAACAAATAATCGGTCAAGGCAATGAAAAACGTAGTGAGGTTTTACACTCCCCAAAGGTAAGGACACAAAAGTGCTGGCAGGGCGATCTGGGCCAGTTCTACGGAGGAAAAGCAGCGCCCTCTACAGGCCCGGCGAGGATCCCGGCGAAGGAGAACACGGCGAGGGGCCCGGAGCTCCAGGGCCGCAGTCTGCGGGGTCCGCTCCCGCCCGCTGACCTCAGGCCTCCCAGGGCCGGCCCCTCGGCTGGCCAGCACACAGCCGGCCTCTTCGCGCTTCCACACCTGACTCTGCAGGCGCCGCTGCCAGCCGACCTCGTAACTCTGTACAGATTTGCACATCTTGCATGAAATCTGTTTTTCTGGCACGCGCGCCCGACTCAAGCCTTGGTGGAGCCCGGCAACTCCTCCTCCAGCTCACGGGGCGCTTTCTTCCTCTGGTGACCTCCACTTCCTCACGGCTTCCCGGGCGACGCCCTCTGTCTGAAGCTGTGTGCTCATCTGCTGGGCTGTGCACTGCCCTCACCCAGCCTGGCTAGGGATCACAGCAGGGCTCCTCTCCTCCGTCTCCCCTCCAGCTTGTGCCGAGAAAGATTTCTTTCTCTTCGATTCTCTGCAGGTTGACTTTGACGGGCCTAGACCCGTGCAGAAGTCCTGGGTTCTACAAGGCTTGGGGTTTTTGACCTTGCTGGATGTATGATTCCTGACTATAGCAACCTCGGTAACCTCAGGCATTCCGGTTCCAAATGTGTCTTCTGTTCTTCCTTCCATTCTTCCCTGTTGGTATTCTCTGTATGCCGCATTGTACTGTCCGTTCATGGTTCATGTCCCGCGGCTCGTGCGCGTTCTGACCCACCCTTTCCTCTCCCCTGCAGACTCAGCGTGGGGATGTTCTCCCGACATTCCTCAGGCTCGCTCCCTGTTCCCTCAGCCTCGTCCTGACTGCAGTTTCCCGGGGCCCCACCAGAGGCACTGTTCCCGTCCATCCCCATGACCACTTCCTCCAAGAGGCTGACGAAATGACGGTCCATTCAGCCTGTGAACTCATCTAAGGACTAATCCACTTGATGAGGTCCGCCCTCACGCCCGGGTACCTGTCTCAGTCCCACCTCTGAAAACTGGCGCCTCAGGCATCGAGCTCTCAGGACACCAGTGTTTGGGGGAACACTTCACATATAAACCCTAACATTCCAGCACCGGCCCTCGAAGGCTTTTATCCATTCCACAGTGCAAAGTGGATTTAGTCCATCTGCACAGGCCTCTAAAGTCTCAACAATTTCAGCTTTACACAGAGTCCAGGTTCAGCTTCGCTTCTGAGCATCAAGGCATCTCCTAGTTTCAACACAGAAAAACATTTTTAAAAAGTTACCACAGGTGCATGACACAATGCCCGGTGGAGACATTCCCAGTCCCAAAGCGGGGAATAGGGAACAGAAAGGAATTGCACCAAAGCAAGACTAAAACCCAGTGGTACAAGCATCGACCCCATGACTGTTGCCCGTCTCCAAAGCACATGGTGCTGAAAGGTGAGCCCCACCCGGCCGTGGCTTTGCTGTTTGCAGCCCCCTGGCCTCTCCCTGGGGCCGGATTCACTGGACCCTGGATGCTTGTGGTTTTCCTCTGCAGATGTGTCACAGTCCTGGCATGTCCAGCTCCCCAGAGATTCCATCGTGCAGCTCTGCGCCTCAGTCTCACAACTTCAAACACTGCCCTCTCAGGGGCTCCCGGAAGTGTTTCCGCCCTGTCACATGTTGCCTGGCCTTCTGCGCCTTCCTTTGAAACCTCAGAAGCATCTCCATGACCTGGTAACTCTGGATGAGATGCTGAATGTCTCCCAAAGGTTCATTTTCACAATGTTGGCCTCTAGTGTCTTAGCCATGTCCTTTGTCACTAGGACAAAATACCTGCTAGCAACCAGTTAAGGCTAGAAAGGTTTATTTTGGCCCACAGCATGTAGAGGTCTCAGTCCATAGCCAGCAGGCACCAAGGCAGGGCCGCTCACAGAGAACAGCTGCTCGAGGCTTGGTGGACAGAAAGCAGAGACATCAAGAGAGGAGCTGGGGAGGGAGGGAGGGAGGGAAAGCTTCCTGGACCCCACCTCTTCCACCGGGACCCCACCTTGGAACAGCAAGTGAGGACAACGCTGCTCAAAGCCCTACCTCTGAGTGCTCGAGGGTCCTGGAGGACACGCGGGTGTAAATGGTGACATCCAAGGGGGCGCTCTGGGAGGTGGAGCCCAGTGAGCTGTCGGTAGGTCCTTAGACAACAGCAAGCCTGGCCCTGATGGGACTGTGGGAGCCCAGCCCAATATGCGTCTTGCTCTTCCTCCAGGCTTGCATTGTCCATGCTTTGCTCGGCCACCCCCGGGGCCTGATGAGCCCCGCTCCCGAGGCATGGAGACACAGAGTCCTCTGATCTTACACCGCACCTTCCAGAAGCATGAGCTGAGTAAACCTTGAAATCTTTCTTCTCACAAATGTAATTCTTTTGGAGATTTCAAGTGTAGCAACATGAAGATGGTTAATACAGCAACAAAATGCAATCCTAGGTTTTAAGAAATCACCTCAGGCAAAGACAGCATGTACCGGAAGGTCAATGGCCATTTAACCGAAAATGCTGGCCATTTCCCCTCCAGGGATCCACGACTGCCTCTGCTTCACAGCTAGGCTCATAGCAGAGCGTGCACTTTCTGGTGAAACTTTGTGGTTGAGCGACTCGTTCGGCACTTGTTTAAAAGCATTGTGACGGTGAAGGAAGCCCAAATCCAGACACGAGGGAGGATATGATTAAGCATTAGAGGACCCTCGGACTGAAAAGCGCCTGACCAGAGACCCTTTCAAACCCTCAGTGCGCGACCCATCCAGAAACAGAGGCCCACATCAAGGAGGGCTAAGGGTGCTGGGGGAGTAGGTGGATGAGACCAAAGCAAAAGGAGCGGGGGAGGGGAGGACAGAACGGGGTGGGGGTACCCACTAAGGCTGGGCTAGGCCAGCCTGCCTGGGCAGCACGGTCCCCCAGCAGCCCAACTGACCCAGGCAGGCTTGCCCATGCCCAAGCTAACCCTCCCTGGGGCCTGGTGAATCAGAGAGGGCTGCCCCGGCCCCCCTAACCTCAGAAATGGGAGAGGGGATGGGCCCTGCTGCTCACTATACCCAGGGGCTGGCCACATGACACCATGCACTTGTCCCAGAAAAGAAAGTCTTTCCTGATAATTTGATCCAGGCCTTCATACACCTGAAAAAGGGGGAAACCTGCTGCCCTGCCCCCCACTCCCACCCAACACACGCACATACACTTGCCCTGCACCCCTTTCCAGATGGACTGAGCCACCTTTGTGACATCACATGATTCTGCAGACAGTCACCCAGTACTGAAGCCCTAGTGCCCTATGGGTGGTACGGGGCAGTCTGGACTCCACAGGACAGGGCTAATTCCCTTGAATACAGAAGGCCCCTGATGTCCCAGTAGTGCCATGGACAGTTTAATTAACAAAGCCAATTTCGAGGCTATGCTAGACCCGGCTGCCGGTCAGGAGCAAGCGAGGGCAGTCCCGCCTCAGCCTCTACCTGGACACAACGAGGGCTCCAGGGAGGTCTCAGGAAGGGGCAGGGACTTCGGCAGGTGCCAAGGTCCAGGTTCCCTGGAGCTGCAGCTACCAGAGAGCCCGAAGCAGCCCGAGGCCATCGAGGAAGGTGGCGCCAGCACTGCTGCGCTCTCGTTCCCCAGGAAGCTGTGGAGCGTGGTGGAGAACGAGGCCTTCAAGTCCGTAGGCTGGAACGAGGATGGGGACGCCGTGGTCATTCAGGTGAACCTCTTCCAGAGGGAGATGCTTGACCAGAGAGACCCACAGAGGATTTTTGAAGCAGACGACCTGAAGAGTTTCACTGACCAACTTCGTCTGTATGGCTTCAGACAGATCCGTGCACCAGGCTCCCAGGCTCAGCCCTGGGGGGCCGAGAGGATGATGGTAAAGTAGAAAGTGGGTCCCTACTTCTCCCCCCCTGCCGCCCACAGCACCCCGATCAAGCCAGTGTTCTGCAAGGGCTGAATCTCCAAGGCTGAATCTTTTAGGGTTAGACATTGTGTACCAAGGGACGAAAGATAAAGGCTGAGGGCACAGCCACTGTCACACAGATGCACCACCACTACAGTAAAGCCTCGGAGGATGAGTGAGCTGTTCTGTGAGTGTTCTGCAAGATGAGCAAACATTTCTAGTAAGGTTCAACTGAGTAAGTGAGCGGTGTCTAGAATGTCACATGACCACAATTGAGCCAATGGTGGTCGTGACCCGAGTCACCCTCTCTCTCTCTCCCTCTCCCGGTCTCATTGTGAGCAACTGTCTCCCAAAAGCAAGTGGTTATGGAGGAGATCTCTGCATCTCTGCATTGAAGGAGGACAAGAGGTGGAACAGTGCCCCACCTCAAATGACATTAGCGAGATGCGTCAAATGTGGGAAACACTGCAAACTTTTGTAGAAAACCACCCCCCAAGTAAGGCTTTAGCAGTGCAAGTAATGAATCGGTTTCATGACAATGCCATGTCACATTTCCATGAAACCTTCAAAAGCAGGCAAAAGCAAATGTCATTGGGTAGGTGTTAAAGTTGCATGAAAAAGAGATTCGGCTGCACCAGTAGATGGCAGCAGTTCTGATGGTGACAGCGAAAGTCGCCCTGCACAAGAGCCCTCCTCTCTCATCTCCCTCACCCCAGCCACAAAGGTCTGCAAAGCTAAGTGTAGGTTCACTTACTTTTCTTTACATTTTGTACTTTATTATTTTCTTTTGCATTATAGTACCATAATCATTCTGCATGAATATTTTTGCATCCTGGAATGAACCATCTGAGTTTCTATTAATTTCTAATGGGGAAATTTGCTTTGCTATGAAAGTGTTTCGGATTGCAAGCATGTTTCCAGAAGGTGTTATGCCTGCAAACCAAGTTTTACTACATCTTTAGGAAGTCATCTTGTAGGGTACAGTGACCCCTGCCAGCAATAAGTTATGTTCCCTATTGCTAAAAGGTAACAGTTATCAGTCTTGGGGGTGGGGGTGCATTTTGTTCCAGTATGGCTGAAATACTCTGTTTGGTTTCAGACGTACCACAACTCCAACTTTCAGAGAGGCAAGCCCGAGCTCCTTGAGAACATTTGGAGGAAAGGAGACCTCCGAAACCCTGCTTGGCAAGGAACCTGCAAACCGATTCTACTGAGGAAGCCCGCCTGGCAAGTAATAGATGATCCGAAGAAGGAAAGGAAGCCGGTAGCCACCAGACACTCCCCACGATTCCCCAAGGCATGGAGGAAGGCACGGAAGGAGGCCTCCCTAGCGAGGGGCAGCAGAGGCCAGAAGCCCACGGTGTACTCCGGCGTGTGGGCTATGAAAAGTATCACAGCAGGGCAAGGCATGAGCACCCCGTCACCTCAGGCGCCAAGGGGCTGCAGTGGGGAGGGCACCCCTAGGCATGCCACGTCCACAGCTCCAGGTGCCGACGCAGTGACAGGCGAGGACACGGAGGCCAGCAGCTCCTCGGCTTACCGCAATCACTGCGCTCTGATGACTCTCTACAACACCTGCTATTCCATCGCGCTGACCGCCCTCTCCGCCAAGACCCCAGATGAGCAGTCTGACGAGGAGGAGCAGGAGGGCTCCTCAGACTACAAGACCGTGCTGTGTGAGCGGGTGAGGGACATGCCACCGCAGTGAGCTCACCTGCTGGTGACGCCAGGCGACGCCATTCCCAGGAGGCTACCTGCCTCCAGTCTTAATAAAGAGGAGCTGTGCCCTGCGGGGAAATAAAGGATAGACCTTAGAGCCCCACTCGTGTTCTTTCTAACCCTCCACACTCGTCATGCGTCACGGCTGAGACACACTGTGGTCCGTGCTGTCCTCTTCCTCCTGAAGCAGCGGCACTGTCCCGGCTCTGCACGGGATTCTGCTGGCCAGTTTGGAGGATGAGGCCAGATCTGGTCCTCTGAGAGCCGGCTGCCGACCTGGGGGTTCTGCAGTGCACTATTCAGCTGCTATGTGGGGGTGGAGATGCATACTACTGGGCACCCCACATCCTTTTTCATTCTGAGACAGCATCATGCTAAATTGCTGAGGCTAGGCCCCAGCTTGCAATCCTCCCGCCTCGGCCTCCTGCAGTGCTGGGATCTGGGGAGGGCACCACCACATCCAGCTGATTAAGGCATCTTGAAACAGGAGATTCTTTCCTTGTGGCTCCCCTGTCCAGGATGCTGCTGGAAGTTCCCACCCAGTAGCTGAGCTTCCCGGGCCCCACATCCCACATCCCCGCAGAGGCACCCCTCTAAGCCAGGCTGGCCCCCCACCAGGGGCGGTCAGCTACCACCTCAGCTTCTCACTAGCCGGTCATTCCAGGACTCCACAAGGGAAAAATCCCTAATATTCACGCCAACCAGCAGAAAGCATTCCTAATGCTGCAGGCAGTAGAAACTGTTGAGAACCTGACAAAGAACATGGTCTATCTCTCCTCCAGACAGCTGTGCGCTATCACAGCAGTGCGTAGGACCACTTGTCAGACACCAAGTAGCTGCGTGACACACAGGCTTCATGGCCCCAGGGACACTTTCTCTAGGGATGAAGGTAAAGCAAAAGGTCAGGTGGCTGCTCCCATTCTGTCTGATATTCCGCCCACCCTGAAGCGTCAGGTAAATCAAGTCACTCACCAGCAAAATTCAGCACCTGGTCTCAGACCACCCGCAACTTCTCCCTGACACCACTCAAATGTTTCCTGAACTGTGACTAAAACAAAGGGCAGGGGACACACAAAGGAGCCTGAACACCAAAGATGATCACGGACACATTTATTTGTACAGTCTGCAAAGCAGCACACCAAAGTCAGTGGAAACGAGAAGACCCTCCTGCGTGTGAAAGTCAGGTACTTGACACTCTGTCCTTGAGCCCAAGAGACACCCTGAAGGCAGGTCCTGGCCGAGACTCTCTTCACCTGGGGAAAGAAGTCTGTGCCCAAGAACAGTCCTGAGCGGGCAGCACCACCCAGGGCAGGGGCGATTCATGATGATTTCCCAGGTCTGCACCATCATGAAGGAAGCTTGGTCTGCTTCAGTTGGCCTCTCAGTGATGCTCCTGCCTGCAGCCCCCAAGAGTCACAGCTCCGGCCCCAGAGGGATCAGGTGCTCCGGGATGTCCACCTGGAATACATCCTTCCCCCCTTGTTGGGAGCCGCGGCCGACACCGGTCGCCTTACTTGGCGGACGTAGGGCCTGTGGGTGGGAGCGGAGCCTGAGCTAGATTGCCCCTCCCATCGAGTGAGCCAAGTTGGCGCCTGCTTCCTGCCCCCTGATTGCGCTGGCGACTTGAACAACCCGCTCTGTAAGATAGTCTGCCTAGCAACAGCTGATGTTAGCCAGTCAGCCCGCATCGCGCGCTTTGAACTGATTGGCTACTGTTGCCCTATAAAAGTAAATGCCTCTCCCGCCACGAGGAAGAAGCACAGAGAGGGATAGAGAAAGTCCACCAGCGAGAAAGGGCTGGTGACAGAGCGGAGGCCTCGCGGGGCCCACGCGGAGATAAATAAAGGCAAGATTGCACACCGCCAGACTTTGTCGTGTGTCTTTCCTGCCGGCCGGGAGCGACCCCGACACCCCCTCTCCTCGGGAAGGGCTGCAGTAACCACTTGGGGTTGGAAATCACGGTCAGGTACTTCTGCGTCAGGTTGGTCAGGAGAGCTTGATTTTCTAGCCCCTCAGTCTCCTCGGGGGCTAAGTCATCTGGGCATAGACAAGCCTCCCCGATGTAAATTAGCCTTGAGAACACAGAGGAAGGCACAGCTGGTGTCCCCACTGTGAACCAGGGCCTGCCTGTGTGCCATGTCCCTTGAGACGACCACTGCTGGAGACAGGATATCATCCAAAGAATATGAGCATGCTCACTTCCTCTCACTGTACACTGGTCACTGTGCGACCCTAAGTGAGGCATAGAGAGGGCTCCAGAAATGAAGAGCATCGGGCCTGCCCTTAAGGAAGCCACACAAGGGGCGGGCACGTTACAGGGAGACTGCTCAGGGTGGCAGGGTCATACTGGGAGGGCAGCAGCCACCTCTAGGGAGACTATGGCCATTGAGACAGCTGGGCAGGCCATCAAGTGACAGGGTGTAATGTAGGACCTCAGTCAGCAAGGGATGAGTGGACTTCTCCTGGGTGTGGTGGGCAGAGGCAACCAGACAGGCCTGGGGAGTGAGGAAGGTGGCATGACTCTAGAGGACACCCAATTGGCCATGTGCCATGCTGCCTCTCATGTGCATGACTGCTGTGTATGGGTGCACACATGCGGTCCCTGCCCAGAGCACACACAGGAAGCAAGGCCGAGTAGAGAAATGATTTTCCAGAGCTCGGATGGATGCAGACTCCCCCCCAATACTTCTTGAGGTCGGTTGGAGGGGTGCAGCGCAGGCCAATGCAGCAAACGTGTTACCTACGCACAGGGAACAGAAGCATCACCCCAGCCCTGGGAGGACGGTGGGCACAGCCTCGCTGACCTGCGATCACACTGCATATAGCTGCCGGAAGGAGAGGCGGCCGAACTTCATTGGCCTTGGCTGCAGGGCTGAACACAGAAGTGCAGTGCATGCACCATCAGGCTAACAGGCAGCAGGCCCCTGGGGGTACCCTGCTGCCCCACCTACTGCCCTCCCACCTGTCACCTCTTTCCCTACAATCCTGCCCCCGATGGACCCAAGGGTGCAGGGCTGGAGTGCAGGTGACTGAGCACCACAGATAGATAGTATCTCTGGGAGGCTCAGGCAAAAGCAGAGACAAACATCGCATGCACACTGTTAGGAGTCAGGCCTCGAAGAGAAGTGGGCTGACTTTGCAAGGCAGGGGGCCGGGCTCTGCTGCTTTTCCTGCTGGCCTGGTCACCTCTGCCATCACTCATCACCCCGCCAGCCGCAGTATGGGTTGGACCTCAAGACTGCAGAGCACAGATTCTCGGCACCCAGGCCCAGCCCCGCTGACAACACATTGGGGACCTCCAGTGCCCCAACAGTGACTCCCCCAGCTCGGGTGGGTGTCACCCTCCTCAGATACCACCCCTCTCCCACTGTGATGGGCACAGAGAAAGCAACGATGAGATCAGGAGTATGACCCCAAGGCTGTGTGCCAGGCCCCGGGACGATCATGATCTTCGGGTGACCAAACTGAATCCTCAAATGACCCAGCAGGGTCCTGTAGGGCTGAGGTGACACGCCCTGCCTAGGGCCCTCCTGCTTTGCCTGTCCCTTGGGCAAGGACAAGAGGGAGCGGAGGGACGACCTCCCTGAGTAGAAGACAGCTGTGCAGAAGAGCGAGCCAGTACCTTTCCAGGACAGCCACGGGCTTGAGGCCACAACCTTGGCTCCCTCAGCTGTCACCCAGCCTCAGTCATCAGGTGGTCTCTGCATCTACTACGAGGCTGAGGACTGAGAGTGAGGTGCAGGAGGGCCCAGCCCGGCACAGCACCTGGCAGGACAGCATTGTCCCCACTGGCAGCCACTCAGCTACTACTGTGGCAGGGCCCCTCAGGGCCCCACCATTGCTATGCTGTCCACTGAGGCTGTCCCTGCTGTCAGCTCAACCTCCAGGATGGCCTGTGGTGTCAGGAAAAGCAGCCCATCCCACAGAACATGGCCCAGGCAGGCTCTGAATGCCACAGCTCCTGCCTTCCCCATGCTGGGGACCTGTCTTCCAGTTAGTCCTCCACCTCATTCAGGCCCCAGGGGTTCCCCCACAGGCTTTTCTGCCCTCAGGAACTCACTCCCTGGCTCCTGCCCCGGGGCCTCTGTCAGGGGTAAAAGGGGCACTGCTTCCCCTCAGATCCCTGTGTGTGAACTGTGTGTGGTGACACAGGCCTGTGATAGCAGGAGGAGGCTGAGGCAGGAAAATCACAAGTTCGAGGCCAGCCTGGGGGACACAAAGGCCAGCCTCAAGGACATAGTGAGACTCTGACTCAAATAAACAAAAAACATTCCTATGTTCACCTGCTTATCCTAGCCCCTGAGGATGTGACCCTACATATGAAGAAAGGGACTCCACGAAGGTAATCGAGGCACAGCCATTCGGGGGGCCAGCATCCAGGATGAGCCTTGTTGTCTAAAAGAGGGAATTTAGGGTCAGACAGGCATTCCAGAAGAGGATCATGAGGACACCAAGGCAGAGAACAGTGACGCTTGTCCCAGGCAAGAACTGCTGGCCAAACACCAAAAGCTATGAGGGAGGGACAGGGCAGAATCTTTCTCACAGCCCACAGAAGAATGGACTCGGAGGGCTTAAGGACTAGATCCAGACTTCCAGCCCACGAAATGGGAGACGCTATGCTCCTGGTCTTTTAGTCACTGTTACAGCCACCTGGGAAAAACTCGCAGGCTTGGGCTGTCCCCTGAACATCACCACAGGACAGAGCCTGGGCTGCGCACTGCCTGGCACACGCGCGCGCCCTTCTGGCAGGCTCAGCTTCCTCTGCCTCTCTCCCCGTGGCCTCAGCGGCACCCCTGGTTAGCCGCCCCATAATCCATCTAAGCACTGTCCTGCTGAGGAACAGTTACAGGGTCCTTCCCGCTGTGTGCCACCAGAGACTCTATCACCACCAACACTCGACTGCGAAGATGGGTGAGAGGGTGCCCGAGTCGGAGGGCGCCCCCCAAGACATCATACCTGCTCCCACCATCGCACCCCACCCGCCAGGGTGCCTCTTCCTCTGAGCTGTAAAAGCGTCAAGTCTCATCCTTCTGCTGATGGGGACAAAGCGTCGTCCCTCCTTCCACCTCTACTTCTCCCACCGGACGCGTGGGCAGAACGGAGGTTCGTCTGCTCTGCACCACCGGGTTTCTTAAGCTAACGCCTGGCTAACCAATTCCACAAAGTGACCTCGCCACAGTGGTGACATGGGGGCAGAGGCCCAGAGTGAGACAGCGCTGTCCCGCCCCTGCTGCAGTCCCTGCCCTGCATCTTGAAAAGCAACAGCCTTCCGGTACTCCGCGCCCCCCGGCTCTTCACCTGCACAAGGGCAGGGAGACAGGAGACAAGGTCGAATGCCAGGCAGCAGCGTTAGCAGATGGCTGCAGGAAGGCCTTCCCTATTCAGCACACAGCGGAAACAGACAAGAGACAGGGGTTAGGCTCACGGGAAGCCCCGCAGCCCCAACTCGATTCTTCACAACTCGTCAGTGAGACCCAGTGCCCTCTGACTTGCAGGCACTGGGCAGACTTGCCCTCCCCCCCCCCCCCCCGGCAGCGGCTGGGACTGTCCTCCGCATGCCTGTGTCGCGGGGACGGCTCCAGAGCGCATTCGACAGGCTTTGGCGCTCCCATGAGGCAAAGAGATTGCCGTGGAGTTGCGACCAGGTCACGTCGCGATGGTGCCGCCCCTGCTGTAGCCTGCGGGAGCTGGCAGGTCACTAACCACAATTCTCAGGCATTAACTCTTGTGCCTCGTCGCCAACCCTGAGACCCCTTTTAGGAAGGGCCCAGGTATGCAGTACGCACACGTGAGCGCCCATCCCTCAAGCATGTAAGTGCGCAGTGCGCAAGTGCATACTGAGTGTCTGCCTATTAGCCAATCAGACCACAGGCAAGCAGGTACACATTGGGGAGTAGGAAGTCATGCGCCTGCGCACACAGGCACTTCAGCCACCCGGAGAGGAACTGCGAAGGCTGAGGGAAGTAGAAGGAGGAAATGAAGCGGAAGAGAAAGGAAGAGGCGGGATGAGGGCCGTCCAGAGCTGCCTGCTGGGGATAGGGCTGCCTGTCACGGAGTAGGCCGGGCTTTGGAGGCACAGGGCGGGGCCTCGTGAAAACACCTGGGAGTAGTAGGGGGCGGGGCTTTAGGGGAGGGGCTGAAAAGGGTGGGGGCCCTGTGAAAGTTCCCAGAGACGAATTGGAAGCTGGAGAGGGGAGGAGAGGCGGGACCTAGTGAAAGTAGTGCAGATAGCGAGCTGGGCAGGGAAGGGCAGGGGTGGGGTCCAGTGAAGACCTTGAGGAAGGAATTAAAGATTTGGCTGGGGAGGGAGCGAGGCCCTGGGAAGATTCCAAGGAGGGTCAACCAGGTGGGGCAGAGAGGGAGGGCAGGGCAGAGTGAAGGCAGTGTGGGAGGAGTTAGCGGTGTTTTGGCTGGGGGAGGAGGCGGGGCCCTGCGAAGGCTCCAAGGAGGATCTGGTAGGTGGGTAGTGGAGGAGGGGGTGGGACCTAGTGAGGGCAATGTGGAAGGAGTTAACAGTTTGGCTGGGGAGGGGCCGGGCCCTGCCAAGCTTCCAGGTAGGATCAAGGAGCTGGGGAGCTGAGGAGATCAAGAGTACAGAATGCAGGTAGTGAGGGAGAAATTATTGGTTTGCCTGGGATGGGGGCTGGAGAAGGTAGTAGGGGGCGGGGCCGAGTGAAACCGGTTAGGGAGGAGTTAGGGATTAGGCTGGGCAGGGGCGAGGCCCTGTCTCATGGAGGGTAGTGGGACTAGGATAGCAAGGCTGAGTGCTGAATTGGAGCAGGGCAATGGGGAAGAATTCTGGGCTAGGATTACTGTGGTTGAGTTTGGTGTAGGGTTTCAGTAAGAGATTAAGTTGGATTCAGGGTCATCTATGATGACATCCTTGTTTTGGGAGGTACTGAAATCCAAGATAGCTGTTTAGAGGGCTTTGTTTGAGGAAGTTCAGCTAGGGGGTGACGTAGGGGAAGGAGAGGGCCAGTGATAGCTGAAGAAACAGGCGGGGTTGACCGAGTGGGGTGGGGCTTGAGCCCTGAGGGCCATTTAGGGGCGGGGCTGAGTACTTAGGGCTGTCTAGGTGAAGCCCGTGGGCCTATGCGAAGGTGGGCTTGGGGACCAAGCCTTGAATTCTGACGCGATTTTGGGAGCGGGGCTGAGGGAGTGGGCGGGGCTGAGTGCTGAAGTAGGGGATGGAAGCGGGGCCATGCTAGGCAGGGGTGGGGACATAGCCTGCATCCGGACGTAGAATTTTGGGGCAGCAGTGGGAGCTGGGCTGTGCCTCCTGTGGCCATAGTTGGGGCAGGAGGCGGAGGCTCAGGGTGAAGCAGGATAGGAGGGCAGTGAGGTATACTTGAAGCCGGTCCCTTGAGTTCTGTACAAGTTCTGGGCTGGGCGGAGACTGCTGATATTTTCCTGGGCTGGAGAAGACCCAGGTTTTAGTTGCAGAATTTGGAGTGGGGGCGGGGCTGTAAGCGCTGTGGTGTAATTGGTGCTGGGCTGAAGCGGGATAGGTTGGTGCCAAGGATGCATGATACAGTTAGGGGTGGATTTGTGGGGTGGCCGGGTGGGGTTATGAATGCTGTGGCATAATTGGAGGCAGACGGGGCTAATGGTGCTGACACTGAGTTAGGGGTGAGCAGTGCAGAACTGAGTGCTGTGGTTTAATAGGGTGGGGTGGAGTGGGTAGGGGCTGGAGGTGCTGAGGAAGCATTATGGGCGGAACTGTGGGGAGGGGGCGGAACAGTGGGGTGGGGCGGGGCTCTATGTGCTGTGGTGTAATTGGGAGCAGGGCTGTGGTGGGGCAGGTGGGGCTGAGAGTGCTGAGACAGCGTTATGGGCGGAGCTGTGGGGTGGGGCAGGGCCCTGAGTGCTATAGTATAATTGAGGTGGAGTGGGTAGGGGTTGGGGGTGCTGAGATCACATTAAAGGCAGAGCTGTGGGGAGGGGAGCGGAGCTTTGGGGTGGGGGCGGGGCTCTATGTGCTGTGTGTAACTGGAAGCAGGGCTGTGGTGGGGCTGGATGGGGCTGAGAGTTCTGAGACATGAGCGGAGTTGTGGGGAGAGGGCGGGGCAGTAAATGCTGTAGTGTTATTGGGGTAGAGTGGGGCTGGGGTGCTGAGAAAGCATTATGGGCGGGGTTGTGGGGAGGGGCGGGGCAGTAAATGCTGTAGTGTTATGGGGTGGAGCGGGTTGGGGCTGGGGTGCTGAGATCACATTATAGGCAGAGCTGTGAGGTGGTGGGCGGAGCTGTGGGTGGGGGCGGGGCAGTAAATGCTGTAGTGTTATTGGGCTGGAGTGGGGCTGGGGGTGCTGAGAAAGCATTACGGGCGGAGCTGTGGAATAGGGGGCGGGGTCCCTGAGTGCTGTGGTGTAATTGGAAGCTGGGCTGTGGTGGGGCAGGGAGGGGCTGAGAGTGTCCAGACAGCGTCGTGGGCGTGGCTGTGGGGGTAGCAGGGGCGGGGCTGCCAGGGAGGAGCATTGTTATTGTGGCCATGGAGGGGTTAATGGCGGAACTGGGGAGAGGGGCGGGTCTTTATGAAGGGCAGGAATAAGGAGCTGGGGAAGGGAGGGCGGGCCCTGGGCCTTGTGAAAGCAGTGTGGAAGGACTTTAACAGCTGGTTTGGGAGGAGCCTGTGTGAATCCTAAAGGTCCCGGGTAGGAGCTGAGGAGTGGGCGGGCCGAGGGCGGTGTGGGGCCCTGTGAACCTGTTAACTGCTGGCCTGGGAAGCGTTTGGGGCTTTGTGAAATTTGCAAAGGAGGGGCAGGAAGCTGCAGACGGCTGGACCTCACGCTTTAGCTGTCCTTTTCTGCACGAGTTCCTAGAGGTTGGAGTAGCAGTGCTAGGCCTCCAGATCCCCAGCCTAGCCCTCTCGGAGGTCCACTTTGAGCTGTTCTGTGATAGCATGTCTTCTCTGTGCCCCTAGCGTGGCCCTGTGGTCCCAAAGTTTCTGTTGTCCCACTCTCAGTGGCATCTGGTCCTTTGGCTGGCCTTCAGGTGCCCAGCACTGTTTACCACCACCCTGGCCTCTACTCCATCCACTGCTGCAGAGGAAGAAGAGGAGGACGTGGTGAGGTGGGAGCCTCACACCCGTTCCCAGGGAGCCGGGCTCTGGAGTGGCCTCCTCTGCCCTCAGGCTGGCCTGCCCAAAGCCCTTCTCCTCCTCACCCTGTGTCCTCTGGGCCCTCTCAGGGAGTACTGTCCCTGCCTCCTGAGAAGGTTCAAGCCTCACCTCACCTGTCCCATGGAGGGCCCCTTTCCCAAGCCTCATGGCCCCCTTTGGTGTCCTGGGGGTCTGTCCGGGCTGCTCGCTAGGGACCTTTGTTCTTTATAGGCTTCAGGACTTCCCTGTGGCGAGGCTGCACGCCTCAGGCCTTCTGGGGCGTTAAGTTCTGTTTCTTAGTGGGGTGCTCCAGTTCCTCATCTGTAGACCCCTCGGTGGCACTGTGGGACCCCCTTCCACGAGGCCCATCCCATCCTGCCACCATGTGCCTGCTGCCCCTGCTTGGCCTTGGGTGTCCTCCCTCTGCTCCCTCAGCAGGCCTGGTTGCACCCTGGCTGTGCAGCGGGGTTCTGTGCTATGCTGCAAGGTCACCCTGGTTGGGGCCTGACGACAGGCTCTCTCCAGCTCTTCCTGCTCAGCCTGGCACTGTCCTGGGTGTAGTGCTGTGAGTCTCAGAGACAAGTGACACAGATCAGTCACTGTTCCTGCAGTGGAGACAGGCGAGGCAGCTTCTGAGAGGAGTACCCATGTGTGTAACTTCTCCCATGGAAGTGGGTGGGTGCTTTTGGGGTCAGGACTACAGCAGGCTCAGAAGTTTCAGAGGAGATGGAGGTTTCCTCTGCACATCCCCACTCCCTGCATGCAGGACTTGGGGCTCCCCACAGGGGCCCCCCCGCTGCTCTGAGTATCTGTCTATTGTAGAGGTCGGCACACCGAATCACAGCTTGTGCCTCAGCATCAGTGCCCTCTGCTCCTCTGCCTGACTTGTAGGGGTCAGTGCCCTGAGCCCAGGAGAGCTGGCCTTGTATCTGTTAAGCAGCCTCAGCCTCCTGTCTACTCCTGCGGGTCACCCAATCCTATTGTGCTCACAGTGGCATTTTCCATTTTTCACGCTTTCCTCCTTCAGGCAGCTTCTGTCCAGGAGCCAGGCCTCCCAGCCCAGACCCCACAGCAGAGGTCTCCAGCAGCCTGCAGCCTACTCACCCTTCCCAAGCAGAGGGCCTTATTATCAGCTGGCCAATGTAGGGCCATTCCTTATCCCCAGCACCAGCCCATGGCCTGCTTTCCTGGAGACCTCTGGAACCAGAGGGTCAGACTGGGCCCCAGGAAGCAAAGCCAGAGGTATACTGGGACTGACACCCCCGTGGGAGAGACAGGGGTCCCGGGAAGCTGAGCCAGAGGTTTACTGGGACTGACACCAGTGGGAGAGACGGGAAGGAAGCAGTGTTGGAAAGCAGGTCCGGCCCGAATTGCCAGTGTCACCCTGCCACACAGGCAGGAGTCAC